GCGTGAGTAGCCTGCCGGCCCCACGCCCCGCCCCTTTTCCTCCTGCCCTCCCCTTCCCTTGCACGCACTCGCGCTCGCTCGCTCCCTTTTGCCCGCACTTGTTGCACGGAGCAAAGGGGGAAGGAAGTAGAGACGTGCCACTTGCTCGTGGTTTTTTAACTACAATTTGGGGTGTTTGGGTGATTTCGGGAGTCTTCAACTGAAGTTTATTTGCGTTTTGATGCAAACTATTTCAGCCCCCCAAAAAAGTTTACGTTTTGGGGTCTTGAAGCTTCATCTGTTATGCCCCCCCCCCCGCAACCAGCAATGAGCTGTGGGTCACCACTGTTATCTTCGTCACCGCTGTTATCTTCTTCTATGGGGTTGTTCCAGGTAGATCACCAAAAGCCACTTCTGGGGCAGCTCCGAGATTAGGGGCCTTGAAGTTCAAGCTTCCTTTTCCTAGTAAATCCGCCCCTGCCTGAATGATTTAACAACCCACACAGAGAGATGGAGACAAAGAGAGAGAATATATTGACTTTTAAAATTATTATTTAAAGCGTGTGGATGGGTGCGGGTCATTAATAGTTTCAGATATAATCTTTGAAATTCAAGCTACTGTATATGTAACCAAAATCAGAAGAGGATTCCATGCGTTGACGAAGATGAATAATTGCCTGCAAAAACACTAGCTGGCAAAAAAAGGTTGCATGAAGCATCTTCACCTCCATGGTTAAGTGTTTTTATGATGCATAAGCACTCAGTACTGTAATTGTTTCTTATCATTAAATATTTTAAAAAGAGATTTAGATCAGCTTTATATCCCTAAAGCAGGCTCTTAAGTATATCTATTCAGCAGAAAGCTTCTGCATTTTCCTTGATCAAGTGTTTGAAGGCCAGTACAGCTGACTCACCAACATTTCTGCATATGCAGACATGTGTTCATATCAGTTTTCCCCTAAGTTCTCTTCTGCTTTCAGGTATATTACCTTTATTGAGGTGCTTTAGGTGGCGCACATATGAACATGAAAAGAAACAGAGAGAACTGACTTACGTTGATTCAGACCACTGGTCTATTTTGTGTGATTGTTTGCACTCCCTGTGTTGACCAGCATCTGGCAACTCTCTTTATGATTTGAGGCAGGTACCTTTTTCATCTCTACCTGGCTTCAGCCTGACACCTAGGGTTTATCTATGAGCTACAGTCTCCCCTCCCCCATGGTCTTTGTAGCTCAGTATCATCTACTCCAGGGTTGAGGAGCTCGGTTTCAAAGTGGCCCTCCAGAGATCTCAAGGAGGTAACCTTTCCCATTACACCATTATTTAGTTGCTTCTCGGAGTTTGTATGTTTTTTCCCACCATTCTAAAAATTTTCCTGTAATGTCTCTCCTAGTGCTTCATTACGAGTAATGGCTTCAAGTCAAAATTTGGAATTTTGCTCTCCCACACTGGCACCTTTGGATCCTGGCCACCAGTTGAATGCAGCCACCATCACCAAACTCATCTGAAATTAAATTTGGCTCACCAGCCAAAAGAAGTTTCCCAGACTTGAGTCTACATTTCATAGGGCTGATCGAAGTCTAGCATTTTAAGGGAGCCAGATCCAGCAGAGCAGAAAATGCTCAGATGGTTTGTGCAGCAGGAACAACAACAGGGGCATAGACATTTCGAAGTGGCAGAACTAATGGGAAGAAGACTTACTCCTGTGTACACTTAAATTCAGAGGGAAAGGGTTTCATTTGTTGAATTTGGTTCTTCTGTACCAATGATTCCATACCTTGGGTAACCTAGGTGTTCTTGGAATGCAATTCCCAGACGTCCTCACCACCAGCTGGACTGGGGTTTCCGAGAGTTGCAGTCCAAGAACATCTGGGGAACCAAAGTTGAAAACCACTGTTTCGGATTAAGAACATGCTCCTTATGGAAAAAATTGTATATGGTTGTGCAAAGAAAGAGCCCAAATGGGAAATACCAAAGTTGAAAACCACTGTTTCGGATTAAGAACATGCTTCTTATAGAAAAAATTGTATATGGTTGTGCAAGGAAAAAGCCCAGATGGGAAATATTACTTTTTTGGATTATAAGTCCCAGAATTCCCCAAGGAACATGAGTATTACCTGGGATCTATAGTCTGGAAAATTGCACCCCCTGCAACATGTCTTTCAAAGATCTACTCACTTTAAACCACTGTTTCGGATTAAGAACATGCTTCTTATAGAAAAAATTGTATATGGTTGTGCAAGGAAAAAGCCCAGATGGGAAATATTACTTTTTTGGATTATAAGTCCCAGAATTCCCCAAGGAACATGAGTATTACCTGGGATCTATAGTCTGGAAAATTGCACCCCCTGCAACATGTCTTTCAAAGATCTACTCACTTTTAGGGTTGGAGGACACATCTTGTCTTCACTACAATGTTGTTTCAAAATGATCTTCAATAGAAATGCATGCATGCCCTTCAGAGGGTCTTCACTACAATGTTGTTTCAAAATGATTGCCTTTCCTTTCTTCAGTAGAAATGCATGCATGCCCTTCAGAGCAAAGGAGAAAAGGGAAAAGGGGTGGGGGGAAAAGGATATATGGGGAATATTACATGGTCAGGTGACACAGGCAATTCTAATCAAGCCTGTGTCAAAAACACTGAGGTTCACCAAAGTTGGGAGCCACTGTTCTGTACCTTAAAGCTACTATTGCCACCCTCACAGGTGAACCAGTATGCATTTGTCTATCAGGATTAAACTATAAATTCAGATAGCTTGTAATTAGAAGCTAAAACCATGTTAATATTTGAGGAACATGGTTCCAGCAGATTTATGTGTCTGAACAATCATACTTGCCATTAAAGCCTGTATTTACCTCCCAGTGACCAATCATAAAAAAGGCAAACTAATTTGCAGATTGTGGGAGGTGGATTTATGGTCACTCTCCAGCTCAATATTTACTGTACATATTCAGAACTACAAATGCAGAAGCTGATAACAGCCATACAGCCATCGCACATAGAGTCAGGCACAAAATTGGTACGTTGTCAGATCACCATAACAGTTTCAGTGTGCACACACATAAATATTGAACAGAATACTGGTCTCTATCTTCAGCCACAGAGAAACAGGAATACCATTTATTGGAAAGGTAGAGTACTGTATGAAATATAGCCAACCAACAAGCAGTTTTGATACTCTCATTGATCTTCCATAAAAAAAGGAAGATGCAACCTACTTGTAACAAATAAAATACTTGTCCTGTTCCCTTTCCCAGGTTGCCATGCACTCCAGAGAAGATCCATGTATGATTTCTACTTAACCCCTTGTGCTGAAATTGTTTAACATTAGCTGGATTGAGGTTAACTCCCTGCTAATAGATAACGATAAAGCAAACTCACACTTGTCACAGGAGACATGATTGCACACTGGGATTCAGAAATCAGAGCATTTAAAATGTTGTGGACATATACCAATGCAAGAGTAGGGATGAACTAGACCTTGGAAATGTTACTTGTTGGGACTACAATTCCCATAATCCACAGCCAATATGGAAAGTTGTGGCTCCAATAACGTAATTTTTCAAAGCTGTACGCCATACAGTATGTGAAAACAGGACCTTGTGGAGATCGCTATGTACTTCTGTAAGAAAGATTCCTAGGAAAACTAGAGGCAAAATAGAAAATACTTT